TACCAAGGGTTACTGATGTAAACTGTGGACTTTGGGTGAGAAGGATGAATCAGTGCTGGTTTATCAGTTGTAACAAATGTACCACAATCATAACAAACACTTACAGGGGACATTGATGGTCCAGGTGGCTGTGCATGAGTTGGCGCAGGAGGTATGAGGGGCTTTCTGTACATTCTCCTCATTTGGCTGTGAACTTAAAATGTCCTAAAAAACAAATTTTTTGTTAATTTTTTTTTCACTCTGACTTTTTTTAACTTTTATTTTAAGTTCAGGGGTACAGGTGCAAGTTCATTATATAGATACCCTTCTGTCACAGTATTTTGTTGTACAGATTATTCCCCATAGGTATGCGTGTTTCACCTAGGTGTAAAACCTAGCACTCATTACTTATTTTTCTTGGTCCTCTCCCTCCTTCCACCCTCCACTCTCTGGTAGGACCCTGTGGCCGTTGTTTCCCTCTGTGTCCATGTGGTCTCATTATTTAGCTCCCATTTATAAGTGAGAACATACTGTATTTGGTTTTCTGTTTCTATGTTAGTTTGCTAAAGGTAATGGCCTCCAGCTCCACCCATGTTCCAGCAAAGGACATGGTCTGCCTCCTTTTTATGGCTGCATAGTACTGCATGGTGTATATGTGCATTTTCTTTATCTAGTCTACCATTGATGGGCATCTCGGTTGATTCCATGTCCTTGCTATTGTGAGCAGTGCTGCAGTGAACATTAGCATCCATGTGGCTTTAAGGTTAGAATGATTTCTATTCCTTTGGGTATAGACCTGGGAATAGGATTGCTGGGTAGGATGGGAGTTCTGTTTTTAGATCTTGGAGGAGTTGCCACACTGTTTTCCACAATGGTTAAAGTAATTTACACTCTCAACAGTGTTTAAGTGTTCTTCTGTCTCTGTGGCACCTGCTATTTAAAAATCATGTTCTTCAATCATCGCATTTTATAAAGGCAAAACCCGAGTCCCAGCTTAAAAGGAAAGAATGGGTCAGAGGAGATGCCAGTCTTGTGCTAAGTGCCCTGAGTACACGGATGCCCACTGGAAGAAAGTGCTGGGAGGTTTTCTTCCTTCCGCTGGGAGGAAGCGATGATAACAATGTCCTTTCAGCTATGCCTGTTACTTGTATTTCTGATCCAGATAAAAGCAAGCCATTAAAAATGGATTTGTGGGGAATTTGTGTTTTGAAACATTAACTGATTTTTCCCTGGTATTCCTTATTACTCTTCACTCTTTTTCTCACGTGTGGGCGTCAGCTCATCTCGCATCTGTGGCATTGGAGAAGAGACGGTATGCCAAAGAAAAGCCTCCTGGGCTTTAAACATCTGTATTCTAAAATAACTCAGAGCATAGGATTTAAAAGTTGATAAAGTTGAGGAAGGTTTTCTTGTCTTCCAGACCAAGCAGGATACAGAAAATAAAAAGAGAAAACCTGAAGGAAACTTAGGCTCTGGTGGGAAGGGCTGGTTACATCTTAACCTTTGTCTTAATCTTGACTTTGGAAGTCATTGGGGGTGACATTTCTGAATTGATGAAGAATAACATTCAGGTATCTAATAGCATGAGTACTTATAAAAAATAATATAAGTCACTGAAATGGAAAAAGAAAGGTACGTGTTCTCTATACTTGGGCTTGTAGATTGACATTTGTACCTCTACAGGACCAGAGAAATGTAAGCTGATTCTTCGTGTGTCCCTGGAAAGACGAAAACAAAGATTGTAAATGTTGAAGTCCTTGAAGTCCTGGACATTCTCAGATGCCTGTAGACTGATTACCATAGAGATGAGTAAGACAATACAGCCTTTTCCAGTGTTTACTTAGGTTAGAGTACATTAGCTCTCCCATTCACCATCGCCTGCTGATTCTCGTATCCCAGAAGCCTGCAGTGCTAAAGCAATGCCATGATAATAAAGCAAAAGGGAGATCTCGCTAATATCTGGGTGTGGGACCCCAAGCTGATTACTGTCCTCTGATCCTCAGTCCTGCTACCCACCAAAGGAGAGTGTGGCTGATATAGATCAGCTTTTAGTTTCTTTTGGATTAATTGTGCAATTTTATGGTTGCAAGTGAATCATTTGTAATGTGTTCTGAGCTTGAATTTATTTTTATTTTTGCAACTTCGTGGTAATTTTCTATAATTTCTCACCATTAATTTTATTTGACATGTGAAGAAACTTTGATATATCCTAAGCTTTAGATATTATGTTCTTATGGATCAATCTAAGGATTGAAATTCATTTTTTTAAAAACCAAAAACTTGAATATAGAAGATAAAATAGTCTTTGAAAAAGTAGAGCTTTAAAACTTCTGGGCCAGGTGCAGTGGCTCATGCCTATAATTCCAGCACTTTGGGTGGCCGAGGTGGGAGAATACTTGAGCCCAGGAGTTTGAGACCAGCCTAGGCAACATGGCAAGACTTGTCTCAAAAAACAAAAACAAAAACAAAAAAAAACCTCAAAAACTTAGTTTGGTGTGCATCTGTAGTCCCTGCTACTCGGGAGGCTGAGGGAGGAGGACCACTTGAGCCTGGAAGGCTGAAGCTATAGTCAGCTGTGATCACACCACTGCACTCCAGCCTGGGTGACAGAGTGAGACCCTGTCCCAAAGGAAATGAAGGAAGAATCTGAATATTCCCCAGATTTGCCCTGGAAGTGCTGAAGAACAGCGTTGGACAAGAGACTACAAGCTACAAAGGCTGCAAAATACAGCAAAGTGGACAAGAGCCGCGTCCTTGTTCGGGGTTTTTCCTAAAGGCTGGGGCTCCTTCACATTCTTGGTGATGCCCATCTTGACCTTTTCCTGTTTCCGGTGCTGAGTCTGCAGTTAAAATGGCCTTTTCCTTCCACACAGAACGATCCAGCAGTGCGTGCCCAGGCGGGTACAAGCAGCATCTGGGTTGTGTATGCACCTAGATGGGTACAAGTAAAACCAGCCACCCAGCAAGAGAGATGGATTCGAGAGGTCAAAAGACTGAAATAACCTCTTTCCATAACAAGAGGAAATAAATAATCCTTGCTTTTTTGTATCTTAATTAACTTTGTACTTTTTAATACAGCATCTGATTAAATTTTTTTAGCCCTACCAAGAGACAAGCAGTATTGACACAAGAATTGGGTTAGAATTTGCTCCCTGAGGAATGATCTAGACAGCTTTAGAGTTTAGTCATCTGCCTACTTCAGAGCTCAATAAATTACAGTACCTAGGCTGACGCTTGCCTGCTCCCTATTTTTGTTAATTCAATTTTTCTTGGAACGCGACACTCCCACTCCTTACATATCATCTGTGACCCTGAGATGCAGCAGCAAAGCTGAGCATTTGCACCAGAAACCACACGGCCTGCAGAACTGACAATATTTACTGGAAGGTCCTTTGCAAAAGATGTTGGCTAACCCCTGGCTCACATGTTTATCAGCATTGAGGCACAGCGAATGAATGTCACATTCTTATTTCTAAATAAATTCCTACAAGATAAGGGGGTAAGTAACAGTTCTGTCTGAATAGCATCATGATGAGCAAGTGTATCTCTATTAAAACCAGCAGGCCTGGAAGTCTTACACGTCCTTGTCCCTGGGAGGAAGCACTGTGTGGACAGAGGCACACCCCACAGCTGCCAGCCTGGCAGGATTTTCTTAGAGTATTGGGTAGTTGGGAAAACAAAAAAATCATTGTTCATTGCTGCTCTTTGCCAATATATTTCTTTCCATGTGCACACATAGCAAGAACTCTCATGGTACAGCCGAATGATGATGTGCTTAGAAGCATCTCACCACCTATGCAGAGTTGAAGAGTGTCCCCCAAGAATTCCCATTCTTCCTGGAGTCTTAGGACAAGACTTTATTTGGAAATAGGGCCATTAGGTCGCCACAGCTGTGATTAGTTAGAATGTGTTATACTGCAAGAAGGTGAGCCCTTGATCTCACATGTCTGGCGTCCTTTTGAGAACAAGAAGATACAGGCATGCACAGGAAGAAATTGATGTGAGCAGTTATACATGGGGACAAGGCCAAGCGATGACACAGGCAGAGATTTCAGTGATGCATCTACTAGGCAAGAAAGGCTGAGAACTACCAGCACCACCAGAAACCAAGAGATGGGCCTGGAACAGATTCCCCTTTAGATCATTCAGGGGGTGCACGGCACTGTGGATAACTTTAGGCTTCTGATTGCCAGAACTATGAGGGAATAACCTTATGTTGATTTAAGCCACCCCATTTGTTGCACTTTGTTGAGATGACCCTAGGACCCTAATATAAACCCCATACGACAACTCTGATGGAAATCAGTGCCTGTGTTCATTTTCTATTGCTAATAACAAATTATCCTAAGTTTGCCAGTGAAAAATATTGCACATTTATGATCTAATGGTAGGTGAGAAGTCCAACATAGGTCTCACAGGGCTAAAATCGAGCCGGCAGGGATACAATTCAATCTGTGGATTCTAGGGCAGAATCCAAGTCTTTGCCTTTGCTAGCATCTCGAGGTCACCCACACTCATCGGCCTCTGGCCCTCCTCCTCCATCTTCAAGGCCAGTAGCTGTAAATTAACATAAGTACTGTTTTTTGTTTTGTTTTGTTTTGTTTTTTAAGGCTGGTCGAGTGAGGCAGTGGAGTGGAGAAGAAACATAAGGCCTTCTTATGCGGCCGCCTCTCAAATCAGCCTTCTGTACTTATCATTCCCTCTGTGCACAGCTGGAAATGTTCTTCATTTTAAAACCTCCTGTGATGAGATTGCACGCACCTGAATAAGCCAGGATCATTTCCCTATCTTTCGTGTTTTTTTGAGACGGAGTCTCGCTCTGTCGCCAGGCTGGAGTGCAGGGGCATTATCTTGGCTCACTGCAATCTCCGCCTCCCAGTTTCAAGTGATTCTCCTGCCTCTGCCTCCCGAGCAGCTGGGACTACAGGAACGCACCATCATGCCCAGCTAATTTTCGTATTTTTTAAGTAGAGATGGGATTTTATCGTGATGGCCAGGATGGTCTCTATCTCTTGACCTTGTGATCTGCCCATCTCAGCCTCCCAAAGCGTTGGAATTACAGGCGTGAGCCACCGCGCCGGCCCATTTCCCTACCACATCTGCACAGTTCCTTTTGCCAGGTAAGACCATCTATTCATTTTCTGAAGAGTTAGATTCAGGGAAGTTTGAGGGACCATGATTCTGCCTACTCCATCCCCTTTATAGACTGTCCTGTCCCTCATGGTGTCTGACTTCCTCCAAGAACTTCAAAGTAAAGGGCTTCCCTTTTGTGTTTCTTCACTCCTGGATGCTCTTTGGTCCTCATGTGAATCTTCCCAGTGTGTCTCCAGGAGAATTCCAACTATATATTTCAGGGAAACCAAAGAGATGTCTCCTTCCACGTCTACAAAAATATACATATGAGAGCTGCAAGGAACCTTTCTTAAAAGCCTTTTACATCTCCCCTTTCCATTCTCCTCTAGCTAACCTGAAGCAGGTGTGATGGTCCAGCCACCAACTTGGACCAAGGGAAGGCAGAGCTCTGCTTAGTGCTATGGAGAGAGGTTGTCTGAAGAAGCCTGATCCCAAGGTCCTTCAGGCTGATACCAGACGTCTGTGCCATCCATCCGGACTTTTATTACATTAGAACGAAATATAGTTTTATCTTATTTAAGCTGCTCTTGTGTGTGTGTGTGTGTGTGTGTGTGTGTGTGTGTGTGTGTTTAGATATGACATTATCAGATTTTTTTAATTGCATTTTAGGTTTTGGGGTACAGGTGAAGAACATGCAGGATTGTTGCATAGGTACACACATGGCAGTGTGATTTGCTGCCTTCCTTCCCATCACCTACATCTGGCATTTTTCCCCATGTTATCTCTCCCCAACTTCCCACCCCCACTGTCCTTCCCCTATTCCCCCCGACAGACCCCAGTGTGTGATACTCCCCTCCTTGTGTCCATGTGTTCTCATTGTTCAACACCCACCTGTGAGTGAGAACATGCTCATTGTTTTAAATCTGTCTATTAATAGGAAGCCAAACTAATCCTATCTGATGCAAGAAAGAGAATAGAATTCTAAGAAACCCATCTTCGTTGGCCAGTAATTTTCATTTAGCAACATAGGTCACAGTAATTCATCTTTCCTGGAGTATTTCAAATAAGGCATCAATTTAGGAATAAAACTACTGGATAGAGGTTTCAAATTAGCAGTAGAGTGACATTTTTGTGTCAATCTTTGTCAAATATATGTCCTAAGAAATTGTTTTATTAGCTAGCTATCAAATGAGTGATAGTATCTATGCATAGATCTGATTTATCATGGTCCTATGGGCAGCTGTTTCTTCTGGAGAATCTGTTTAGAAGACAAACAAAAAATAAAAACTAAAGTCTGATCACACTTAAGAGTCTAAGCTTCCTAGCACGTGCCAGTGTTGTCCTTGGCTTTGCTGCTGGGAAGTTGGGGAAAGAAGCCACATGCAGGGGCCAGGACAGCCATAGACAAGCGTAGGGCAGGAACATGGAGCTGGGATGAGGACACACAGGAGGTCACTGGGGCTTAAGGAGCCAGGTCTAGGAGGTGGCGACATTACCCTATGTTTGAGACCAATCGAGGCAGAGGAAGGATCACTCAGGAGTGGGGGAGATGATGGTTAAAGGAGCAAAGGGTGAGAGGAAGTGATCAGACTCTTGCTCCAATGTGTGACAGATTTAGTCCACACAACAACCTCTAAGGATTAGGTGGCGTCAAACCATTTTACAGATGAGGAATCAGAGGCTGAGAGCTGAACGTGTTTATCAGTCACACGTGTAGTGAGTAGTGAAGCCAACGTATGAATTAAGGTCACTTTAACAGCAGGGATTATGTTCTCTTCACCATACTGACAACAATGGACCATGTTTGATGGAGGATGTCATCCGCCTCCTTCTAGCGCTGGAGTTGGTTCTTGGGCCAGCTGTCCTCAAAGTGCTGCCCTCGGAGGCCTGTCCAAGCAGGGGACTGTGTGCATGTTGACCACCACTCACCTGCTCCAACTCATTACCATGCTCAGGTTCAAGAGTGACGCTGAAAGCCCATTGTCCTGAACAGGTCTGTCATTTCCCAAGTTGGAAAGTTACACACACACACACACACGCACTCACACACACGCACACTTTACTCATCTGTGGATACAACATCCAGGTTGTCCCCACGTCTTGCCTGCTGTGACTAACGTTGCAATAACATGGGGATGCTAGCATCCCTTTAGGTTCTGATTCAGTCCTGTGGGAAGAAGCAGTTCCAGACCCTGATACACAGCATCGTGTCTATAGGTAACGATGCTGTACTTTACAGCTAAAATCTGTTAGGAGGGTAGACTTCATTTTAAGTGTTCTTGCCATAATAAAAGAAGAGACAGTGTTGTTGTTTTTTTAATCTATATCTAAACAGTCACATTTAATTTATTTTGGTTGTCAAAAAGCTGCTCCTTTCTATCTTATGTTCAGCACATGTGTCTTGAGAAGTCCAAGGCACCAGTACTTCAGATGATCCAGGTTGTTAAGCTTGGCACAGGGTTTTATTTTCTTTATTTAAAAATATAGGGTACCATTCTGTCACTGAGGCTTGAGTGCAGCAGTGTGATCATAGCTCACTGCAGCCTCAAACCCCTGGGCTCAAGCAATTCTCCTGCCTCAGCCCCTAAATAGCTAGAATTCCAGGTGCAGCCTCAACAATCAGCTAATTTTCTTTATTTTTTGTAGAGACAGCATCGCCCTATGCTGCCTAGGCTGGTGTCGAACTTCTAGCCTCGAGCAATCCTTTTGCCTCAGCCTCCCAAAACGTTAATATTACAGGCGAGAGCCACCGCACCTGACTCATCAAGTGGTTTCTGTGGAATGTGAAGATAAGACAAAAACTTCCATATGCAACTCACATATATTAAACGTGACCCATTACCAGGACTTCTGCTAAGAATTTTCACATATCTCACTATTTAATCTCCTAACCCTACCAGGTAGTTATTACTGTAATTTTATTGATGGGAAAATAGGTGTCAGAGATGTTTAGTGACTCACCAGGGTCACGTGGTGCAGACTGGTTGAGACAAGGGTTTTTGTGACACACACATCTGTGTTTTCAATGCTCCGATATGAAGACAGAGGCACCTGTTCAATGAGGGGAGAGATGCCAGGCATTATAGAAAGATGGGTATGACATTTTCAGAGAGATACGTCTAAAAACTTTAGTTCAGCAGGCTGGGCATGGTGGCTCACGCCTGTTATCCCAGCACTTTGGGAGGCCAAGGTGGGTGGATCACCTGAGGTCAGGAGTTTGAGACCAGCCTGGCCAACATGACGAAACCCCGTCTCTACTAAAGATACAAAAATCAGCTGGGCACATGCTGGCAGGTGCCTGTAATCCCGGCTACTCAGGAGGCTGAGGCAGAAGAATTGCTTGAACTTGGGAGGCGGAGGTTGCAGTGAGCTGAGATCACCCCATTGCATTCCAGCCTGGGAGACAAGAGCGAAACTCCGTCTCAAAAAAAAATAATAATAATAATTAATTCAGTGATACCTTAAAGGAGTTTTGGGAAAACTGAAAATTACAAGCCTTGCTAGATGTTGACTAGAGAGCAGCGCTGAAGCCAACAGTAAGAAGTTTCAGTGAATCATGTTACTAAAGGACCTGTGGACTCAAGCGCTTGCCGGGGAAAAATACTTCCCATCCTGGTATAGAGATACAGAGTATGCTAGTGAATATTTATGCACCAGCTATCATGACATTTAAGTTGAATCTTGACCTGGCATATACATCATCATCATAAAATTGAGATTAATGTATATCATTTATGGAGAAGGTCAAAGAGATTCCCTGGATATTAAAAGGTTTGTTTTAATAGCTGCAGGATCATTGCCCTATAATACTGAGACTACGAATGCTCACCATGGATGTTTGTGAAGATGCCTACGATAGAAAAATATGTCTGGTCCCTTAGAAATAGCACATGCTCCACGAGAAACTGGTGTAACCTCCAACGTTGTGACCATTATCTGGTAGCCTGTGGGCTCCCAGAGTTTATTCTGTCACTCTGATGTTACAGAAGTTATCTGGCTTCACTTCCGAGGCAGGAAGCAACACGGCTCACTGTCACGACTTTCCCCCTGAAGCTCACAGGTGAGTCCCTTGCAAACCCAGCCCACTGATTTCCAAAAAGCAACACGAGTGTCTGTTTTCCTCACTATTCTCTCTGCACAGAGAAGACAGCGCCATCCTGCATCTTCCAGTTCTCACAGTCACTTTCTACTCACCAGGGGCTGGAGTTGCAGGGCTGCAATAATGCGTGGGAGGAAACGTCAAACATGAACCATGGAGAAGAGTGCTCAAGAGCGAAAGCTCTTTGTTAGATTTTTTGCACAAAATGTTGTACTGGGATTACAAAATCAGAGAGAGTCTATAGACAGAATGTATTGCAAATGATTTTTTAACTAGAGGGAAATTGAATGTTACATTATCGTTCCCTCACTCCATTTAAGTGTACTTGGTGCACATTGTAAGACGCCACAGATAAACCACCTGCCCCCATAAGGACTTTTATTCATTATAAACAATGTTTGTTTCATAACTCACAGTGCCCTCTACCCAGGGGGCTTCCCAGTACTTCTTCCTGCCACGTTCACGAGACGTTGGTGAAGATGTCTGTTTCGGTACCTCGCAACAGGCCACGTGACGGAAGCTTCATCAAGGGTCCTCCCAAAGAAGTTCTTCAGAAGCCATTTTCTTTCACCCAAGCTATTTCCAGGATGCCAAGGGTTTCGTTACTTTTCTCAATGTAAATCAGAAAGTTTAAAGAGCTCTTAAAAAGAACTATGTGCACTTTCTGTGCTGAAGTTGTTTCTGTATTTATATCACCCTGACCTCCAGTTCTCGTCCCTGGGAAAACAATGACATGTTCCAGAAACAGTAACTGACACTATGTACGAGGAGTTTCAAGCACTCTGCTATGAGCAGGTGGCACATCATTCTGTTGTCAGAGATTCAATTCGCTGGGTGAACCCTGGTGCAAAATTCATTCTAATGAAATGCCTTTTGAAAATCATAACTGGAGAAAACCATGATCACCATCTCTCTTCAGTAACTATCTATGATTGCACTAAATCATAATTACATTTGAAAACCTAAAATTTAAAAAAAGCTTTGTGTGAATTAGAGAAATAAAAATTACTGCAATGTGAATGGGCAAACACAGCTGAAATAAAAATGCTCATCTTTCATTAATCAATGCATTTTGCATAAAATGTTTATTTTACGTTTTTGAACAAACATAACTCAAGTATGTTACATAAGCATGGGAGCAACTGGGCTATGACAGTTTAACGCTACTTTGCAAAGCCATAATTTTGCTCGGGCCCAGAAGAGCCAAATTTGCCTGTTGTTTTCTTGACGTCTTAATCGTAGGCCATCTCTGAGACCAGTATCCACATACCAGAGTTTCACATGCAGCTGTAGAGTTTTACTAGCTTCCACCTGAGAATCTTCCTTGTATCAGTTTCCACTAAATGCTCCAAACCCGAGAACAAAGGGCCCCAGCAATGGACAATAGACACAGAATCTACCTGGATATGTATTTCCTTCACTTTTACACTCCTCTCACCTGAGCAGAATCACTTGGTATGAAGATTCTCTTATGTGGATTT